AAAATGTGAGGGAATTAGTGTCTGGTTGATTATGCATTTGTTCTTAAAATAAGCATTATTTAAATTGTTATCTTGCTTTTTATTATCGTACAGTACATTTAGCCCACTCAGAGCATTACAGGGTTCACTGTTTGATTTTAGGTGAGTGTTTATCAGTCACTGACATTGATAAATCATAGATGCTTTTGACAAGTGTGCATGTCTAATTTCTCTCTAAGCCCAATTTTGAATCCCTTTCTTCCAGAGACATTCATGACATTTCCCACCCAAGAATCTCTAAATGTTGAAAGTATTAGTATATCTTTGGTCTCAACCCCAATACAATAAAATAAATGTCTTTGAGTTTTATTTCCTGTAGTATGCATTATATATATTCCAGAAGTTTCAATATATATATATCCCCAAGGTACTGTTGAGAAGAATAAATCTGTGAAGGATAAACCCCTGATCTTTTAAAATTTATTCTGAAGGTGTAATAACAGTGGGTATCTATGGTTCGAAGAAAAATGCATATAAGTTTTTTGCTTTGGTTTGATTTCCTTTAATTGTTATAGCTGGATTGTGGTCAGTTCTATTAAAAAAAAATGAGAACTTTACTTACTTGATTAGGTTATGTTATATGATAAAGGTGAATAGGAAAGTCATTTCTCTGCTAACAATCTATTACATGCCTCACCCTAGAATCCCAAAGAATCCACATGAGAGGGATGCCATCTTGCTGTCTTGAGGAAGCAAACAGCTATGGTTTGGAGGAAATCGTGTGACTGGAAGATGTGAGTAACGTCTAGGAGCAAAGAGGGACACCTGTGGCTAATAGCCAGCAAGTAAAGGTTCTCATAAATTGTGCCAAGAATCAATAAATTTGGCAGAGAATCCTAAATTGTACATGAAATTCATAGATATGCAAGTTCCTTGTATAAATGGTATAGTATTTGCCTAGAATTCATGCACATCCTCTTGCATATCATATATATATATATATCCTCAAGCTCACACCTTGATTAGGGCTTAGTGAGACCCCACACAGAAACTTCTCTTAAGAGATGCTAGACTTTCACCCATAGAAACATTGAATTAATTTCAAATATATATTTGTGTTCTGTCAATCCACTAATTTGTGGTAATTTGTTATAAAGCAATATAAATTAGAAGCCATGAAAACATGTCCATAGGAAACCTACATGTGAGTGTCTACATTAACCTTCAATCAGAATAGCCAGAACCTGGAAACAACACACTTATCTATTAACTGGTAAATAGATAAACAATGTATGACATATCTATATGATGGAATACTACTGAGTAATTTAAAGTAATTTAAAGTGACATCTCCTCCAATATATTTAATAGCACAAATAAATATGAAAAACATTAGCTTAGTGACCAAAGATAGACATAATAGGCTCCACACTGTATGTCTACATTTCTATATAGACATTATAAAGCCAGTACTATAGGGACAGAAAAGGGGTCATCATTTATCAAGGGCTAAGTTTAACATTGAAACAATTGCCTAGAAATGGAAAGTCACATAGGGAATCATCTTCCATACCCTTACTTCATTAAATCTCTTTTTGCTATTTTCCTGAACTATAATTTTATTTGTAATTTTGTATATATTATATGTTATTTCTATATCTACATCTGTATCTGTATCTATATGTCATTGTACAGTTATTATACATTGGTATCCACTGGGTGAGAATTAGTTCCAGGACCCACTGTAGATACTTAAATTCATATATATGCAAGTTCCTTGTATAAATGGTAGAGTATTTGTCTAAAATTTATGCACATCCTCTTGCATAACTTAAATCATCTTCAGGTTGTTTATTACATATCATGTGAAAAAGATGTTATATTTCATTGCTAGGGAATAATGACAAGGAAAAAAATTTGTATATGTTCAGTACAGACTCAATTTTTTTCCAGGATATTTTCAATTTGCAGTTGGTTAAATCAACAAGTGTGGTATCCACAGATATGGCAGGCTAACTATATAAGTTTATAAATTTATATATATATATATGTATGTATACATATATATTATATATATGTGTATGTGATATATATGTTTGTATAATGATATATACATTAGGAAGAAAGTTTAACAAATTCATGAATTTAGTGTTCTTTATTTTCATTGTCTATATTTTGAAAAGAAATTTAGTATTAACCAAAAGTCAATGGATTTATCTGTAATTCCTGTGTATATTGAATTTATCAAATATTGCATTTCATACCTGAATGTTTAGTTCAATAGACTTTGTTTAGAAGTCTTGCTAAAATGAATTTTGATTATGAAATGTACACAGAAATAGTTTTAATAAACCTTAAGGATTTCTAGCTATAGACCTTAGTACCAATGTGTTCAATAACCTTAATATGGATAGTCAACACATAGGCTTTTTTTAAAAGTTCTATATATAAAGGATTTATAACATACTGGCAAACATTATAGATAGAATTGGAAATTTAGAATCTTTGTATCAAATAACAGTGTAAAGTTTTGGTTACTAGTGGTTTGATTAATATATCTAGGAGTAAATAATGCAATCACCTCTTTCTGATTTATAATTCATTCAGCAATTTATATTCTACAAGACTAAAATTCATATATTTTTAAAAACAGATTTTTTTCAAATATCTTAAGTTTCTTTCCAGTTCGCAGTCAGGATGTGTTTTAGAATTAAATATTTAACATTTTGAAAACAAATTTAAAATATCTGCAATTCTTTACTTTTCAAAATTGTATTAGTATCAGTGACTAGTATTAATGGAACTTTTGAAATCTTTGCAGTTAGGTTTTAATAATATGAATTTATTTTCTTTGCTTTCTAAATAAGTCAAGTTGTAGTATATTATCCATAGTATATTATCCATGTACTCTTTACATTAGATTTATTTCTAGATGAACTTATTAAAATGCAATGTATCTTAAAAATTTAGGTAATTTAATTTAACTTTAAATATGTAAGTCATCTTTGATTAGTACTAAGTATGCATTTGGATTTATTATTTTAAAACAGTCTGCTGGCACAAGTTCATCGTTTCCTTTATAGGTTTGTCTGTAAGTATGTGCCACTTGTTTTGTATTGCTGAGAAAAAGGAACTTCCAGTCCATAAGAATTAACAATGGGAGTTTTCCCCCTAATTAGCATTAAAAAAATCCTGGACATTTTCATGTTTTGCATTTGTTAGGATAGGCAGAGCCAAATTTTATGAATTACCTATACAGATGTTTAGCATTAAATAGATAATAAAACAAATTTTGATGAATTTAATTCACTTTGTAGGTAAAATTATATATATATTATATAAACACATATATGCATATATATATCATGCATCAATCTGTCAATATATCATCCCATTCATTTTTTTCTTTCTGTGTAAATATTAAAAATGAAATGGGAATCAAGGAATATGAAGTATAGGTAAGCCAAAAATAAATTATTTGCAGACTATATATTATCATGAATTATCTCAGTATAATATTATGCAATGTTTTGTTTCAAAACTACCTCCATTCACATTTCTTTTCCCTTTCTCTTCTTGGTAAAGCTATTTGGCCCATTATTCAAAGAATAGCTATGATGTTTTAAGAAGTATTATTACTTGGGCTGGGGATGTGGCTCAAGTGGTAGCACGCTCTCCTGGCATGCGTGCGGCTGGGGTTCGATCCTCAGCACCACATACAAATAAAGATGTTGTGTCCGTCGAAAACTAAAAAAAAAAATATTAAAAAATTTTCTCTCTCTCTCTCTAAAAAAACATTTATTCATAAATAAGTATTATTACTGAATGTATATATGTGAATGCATGACCAATGTGATTCTGCAACCTGTATACTCAGAAAAATGAGATATATATTCCATCTGATTCAAATGTATGATATGTCAAGGTCATTGTACTTTCATGTGTAACTAATTAAAACAAATAAAAAATAAAAATAAAAGTAAAAAAGAAGTTGAAGCAAAACATTTATCCCAGATGATGGAAGGTCTTGGAATGTTTTTCTTTCAGGTTAAGACAACTTATCACAAAGTTTCTGAAATCTGAGTAATACTTTAAAATAGAATGTAACTGGGTGTGGTAGTGCACCCCTGTTATCTAGTGACTCAGGAGGCTGAGCCAGGAGCATCACAAGTTCAAAGCCAGCCTCAACAACAGTAAGGTACTACACAAGATGCTGTCTCAAAATTTTTTAAAAATTATCAAAATTGGGTTTGGAATATGGCCCAGTGGTTAATTCCCCTTGGATTCAATCCCCACTAGCCTAAATAAATAAATATAGAATATGAATTTTTAGTAATATAAACCTGTTATTAAATATGTCTTTTTCTTGGACTCAATGATTTGCTCTTCAGGTTTTCACCTGTTTGGAATAGATACCTGAATTGAAAATTTTATTTGAAGACATCTTACAAATAAGAATGTACATTATAAACTGGTGTGCTTTTAAACAACATTGTTATAACTTAGTTAATTTTATTATCCCAACATAATTTGTTGTCACCACAGTAAAACTATGGTAATGAAAGCATCTACCTTGGTAATAAAGGATATAATTGATCTCCTATCTTTTTAAGATATTGATTTATCACATGACAGTCACCTCGTAAGCAGCCACTGAAAATCTTACTCATTGGGCTAAGTAAGAAAAGGAGTATATTTCATTTACTTCAACTGTAGGTTTTTTTCAAAGACTTATCATCTCTTCTAAAATATACAAAATGTATAGTTTGAGGTTAATTCAGTCAACCTCCATAAAAATGTTTGCTGTTTTGATTGTTTTACTCATTTGCTTTTGTCCCTAAAATATATGATAAATGATATTCTGATTCTGATACAATGAACAGAGGTTGAGATCTCTATTTAAAGAACAAATGAGTGCTTAATAAAATTCACCTAAATTTTAGCCCTTGTTAAACATTTGACAATAGAGGCATATTATGTGATGTTATAGGTGTCTGCATGCTGAATCATATAATAGTGGCTATTTGAGAGGCATATTTCTGTTAAGTGTTTATTCTTTAAATATTAAAAATGTGCCTCTGATGAGTATATTCTTAAATTGCTATGCCATGTAAATTATATTAGGAAAAAACTGGTATTGCAGTAGGTACTTGCATGCCTCCAAAACTTCTGAACATAATTGTTGTTTTCATTTTATCTACAGTAAATTTAAACCACAATGATATTCAGAAGATATGATAATTATTGAAGTCTTAAGTACTGAACATTGTGAGCCAAGAGGATTTATTTTAAGTAAGGGCACACTAGGTTGCTCTTTCAATAAAATCTCTGAGCATATCGTGTCAAGGAAGGGCAAGGAGGTATCAATAGCATATGTTACCATTTTGCACAGCATAAAGTATAAATATTATCACTTCAAAGTTCTTTCTAATTGAGTTACCTATTCTTTAATAAATAATTTTTTTTTTACAAATCAAATATTTAGTTTTGGTTTTGATCTCTATACTACTAACAAATATTACTTTTATTTGAAAGAGACATTTTTTTGAGAAAAAAATATCTTTTTAAGAAAGACAACAGGTTCAGGCTGGGGATACGGCTCAAGTGGTAACGTGCTCGCCTGGCACGCGTGGGGCGCTGGGTTGGATCCTCAGCACCACATAAAAAATAAAATAAAGATGTTGTGTCCACCGAAAACTAAAAAGTAAATATTAAAAAATTCTCTCTCTCTCTCTCTCTCTCTCTCTCTCTTAAAAAAAGACAACAGGTTCAATACAGTTATTGAACTATATTAAAATAAGTTTTCTTGACAATGTTTGGCACAGTAGGACAAGGGAACTTAGCTTATGGAAATTGTCATGCTTTGAATGTGAGATGTCCCCCTGATGCTCCTATATTAATGCAGAAATGTTTAAAGGTGAAATGACTGGATTGTGAGAGCTCTAACTTAATCAGTTCATACTAGTTTGAATGGACTGACTGGGTGGTAACTCTAGGGAGGTAGGTCACTGGGGAGTACCAAGGTAGTAAAGCAGGCCAGAGATCCCCACCCAGAAGACCCTTGCCATAACTAAGCTTTTCCAGAGACCCTCAAAAATTCTATTTAGCATAATTGTTCTTGGACTTTCAGCAAGAATTTCTATAACAAAGTTTCCAGATGGAGGGTGTGTTTACATAGACAGCGTGATAAGGGACTCAAGGCTCCAGCCTGGGTCTGAAGCCTTCACAGAAGCCTTTGCACCTCAAAGGACAATAGTTAAGTTTTTTTTTTTTGGAACCAGCTGGTGGAAAGATAGGGAAAGGGGGACTCTTCCTTTCCCAGACATTGATTTTCACAGAGTGACCTTGGCCCAGAACAGTGAAAATTCTGCTTTTGTGTGAACTAAAACAGATTGTGAGCCTTTGAGCCCCTCCCTTTATACACTGGGTATAAAGTTCTAAAACTTTCTGAACTCGGAGTTCAGGGGTAAGTTGATGGAGGCAAACAAACAAACAAACAAATAAAACCAAAAAACCCTTTGAACTGGCTGCAGCCAATAAACCTGCTTCCTGCTATTTCCTTGGTGTCCAGCCTCATTTGTCCTACTTCAGGAGGGTACATCTTCCCTGTGACATCTTGCCCCACCCCTTCTCTGTCTGCTTTGGTGCTGCCCTGAGGGGAGCAGCTTCCTGTTGCCATGCCCTTCCCTGGTGATGTGCTGCCTCACCTAGGGCTCAGCCAGAGCAACGGAGTTGACCATCTGTGGCCTGATGCCTCTGTGAGCTCCAAATAAAGTCTTCCTCCCCTAAGTTGTTCTTATCAGGTATTTTGGTCATAGTGATGTGAAAGCTGACTAGAACAGGAATATTATATTAAAAATTGAGTTCCTTGAAGATAGTTGATACGTTTTGTAGCTAACCCAATGAATCCAATTACAGATTCATAACTTACCTATGTATACATACAGATAAGATACGTCAAGACAATAAATTTTAGCTAGAAGAATAATTATAATGAAACATGATTT